GGAGTTTAGACTATAGTACATATCTCAATTCGGGGGTGTCCTGGGGAGCTTGAGCCTGGCGATCCAAGCTGCCATCGAGCTCAAATTGCATTGTGCCGGATGGTTTTACAAAATTGGGGGGGGGGGGGGGNNGTTTAGGGAATTGGGGGGGTGGGTTTTAGATACCCTAGGGATGTACAAGGCGCATATGTCTATATTATCTTCCGTTGACCACCTACCAAAATGCTATCGGAGCTCACTTGGCGTCAATGTGATCTTGGTTCTATCCAGAGCCCATACATCTTTCAGCCCTACCAGGTACAGGTGCGTTGCACACGGCTCTTCCAAAGAGATTCCAGATCTGCAGCAATGAGATTACAGCTGATTTCCCTTACAAACCCATTCTTCAATCAGTCCTTCCCAATGGATAGTCCGCAAACCATATACTCCCAGATAATGCCGCTTCTTCAAAGATAACTGTAAACATGGTTTCTCTTACTAGTTAACAAGATCCAAAAGGTGCAAGGCAAAATGCAAGCAACGCCCTGTGATGGCAAAGGAAGAACGCATACTGCTTGTGAAGCTTCGACAGAAAATGCTGCAGCAGCAAGTAGCCTGCCGCAACGGAAAGTCCAGTGATAATTAAAGAGGCACAGATCGTGCAGAGGATCATGATCCCCGTAGTATCGATATCTGCCACCGTGAGTGCACTGAGAAGCAAGATCATGAGCAGCACAAAGCTTACCTGCGATGTTTCTGGACCAAACAGGGAATCTATCGAGATTTCTATGATGGGCTGAGGTGATGCCACCTTGTTGTGCACAACTTTAAACGTGTCTTCCAACGACAGTCCAGCCGCGATCGCATCCATCTGCGAAGCCAAAGGTGATCGCCAAGGCTTGAAATAGGCCACGCATACCTTTTGTGGTGAGTAGCTTACTGTACATGAGGTTGTGAGGTCTATTGTTCTCGATGCTTCTAGAAGGCTTCTGCAATGGCAAGAAAGGCTTTAAACCACACACGCGAGCCTCTTCTACAAAATGGTATATCTTCTCTCGGTACTACAGTATCAAGCATGCCATGAAAAGGTACTCAAAAGCTGCAGCTTGACATCCTCTTGGTACACAATGCTAGCAGCCATAAAGATAGTGACGGCAATAATTACTGACATGCACGAATTACAAGGCCGAAAAACACACATACACTCCACAGTGCATAGTAGCCATCACGACCTGTTATTCTAGAAGTGAGAGCTGAGCAAGATGACGCCCTATATCACACTTTGATCCCCTCTTGAATAGTTCGTGGTTATAGTCCCAAGTAGATAGAATGCGGCTTTGGGTATATTATCAATAAGATCCCCATATACCCCAGATACTATCTACTGGAGGACTATAGAGCTCTTGCATTCTTAGTATGCCCAAGATGCTGCACTCAAGCCAAGCAGTTGGCCCATGACAAAGAGACAGCCTCATGGCTGAAATGTTTAGGGTTTGGGGTTTAGGGTTTAGGGACGGATTGGGCTTTGGGGCTCCTAGGTTTTCCCTCACCAGCCCAGAGAAAATACTAGAAAATGTTTGTCAGCAGACGCACATGCTACCCGCATGTCCTGTAAATCATGTACGAATGTTGTACACTCCTCCAGGTTTGAGGTCTTGGAGTCCCCAAACCAGCGGGCCCAACTGGAACCCTCATATTACCACCGCCACGCTCATCAGCCAGACCAAACACAAAGATGCGCAGTATGGCTCCAGAGAAACTCTTGTGGATATCCAGCTACAAGGTTGAACTTTCCAGGTGTAGAAAAGGCCACTGTCATGACATGACATACAACAAGCTACTCTGAATAAGTACACATTCCTACCCACAGACCCTAGACCGGAACCTTCCCCTTTTTGCCGGAGGCAGAGGAACCTGAAGCTGACATCATGGGTGCGAGGACGAAGATCAAATTCCTCAGAAAAAGGGACCACAACGCTTCCCAAACTTGTGCTTAAGGTTTAGGGCTTTGGGCTTAGGATTTTTTAGGAGTTCGCTGGAGCTGCCAGGCAATGATTCTGGGAAATTCTCCACATTCTTGGCGTACTCAAAATCGCAAGCAGTGACGATTATAACCCACAAGGAAAAGTGGCAACACTGATTGTAGCAGTGGAACAGCAACTGTTATGGTACTTGCAAGAGCAATATCAAACCACAATGATATAGAAATGTACCGACCAGCTGTCATACATAATAGGCCACACAACTGCGACATTTGCAATGTATGTATTCATGGCTGCAAAAATGATGGTGCACTTTATCCAGTCTCAAAAGCAATGCTGTTTATCACAGGCTCCGCATCAAGAAAAGGATGGTGAAACTCTCGAAGCCTGGCTTGAATCTCACGATCAAGAAGGAGCAGGCGCGAATCAGTGCTGCATCTGCTTGGTGAATGCGAGGTAGCAGGACCAGCAACACGTAGGAGCAGATGGCTAGGAAACTAAGTGGGAGGAGGCACACCACGGCGCTGATCACGCACATTGTGAGATGAGTGCCAGAGAAGCTACAGAAGACCTCATGGTTTGCTTCCAGGGTCAAAACCCCGTTGGGATGCAGGTTGCACCGGAAGGGCTCCGTGAATGTGGAGGACAAAGTGATGTAGAAGAGCAAGAAAAGGAACCCGAGGGTTCTCACCAATTCGCTCATCTTCACCGATGCCACCACTTTGAGGGCCAGGTGAGAAAAGAGCGGGCCAACTGCGAAGAAGAGGGGGACCAGCAACGTGCGCAGTAGCAACTTTACCTGTTCTTGGGACCTGTATAGGACCTGTCAGATTAGCATGTAAAAGCTTCAAAGCTAATCCTAAGAGCGGCCGAGTCACTTCAGGACTGATGCGAGTCATGCACGTAAGGGTTCGCAAAGCGCCAAGGATCGAGTCGAGAGAAAGAACATGAAATATCTGAAGCAAACTCACCTTTAGCAGAGGGGCGTCATTGCAGAATCTTAAGAGCAGAAATCTACGAGCCTACTTTACGACCAAGGCTGCTCGTGAGGTGGGGGCCCGGAGGGGCAGGGTTCTGGCTGATTGGCACCTTCAAGGGTCCTCTGAACTTCTGAATCCTGTCCCCAGGAAGTCTGCTGAGGGTAGCGGTTCATTCAAGCCCACCAAAAACTACCACACCCTAAACTGTTAAACCATTGCTGTTGTTGACGTGTCACGAAAGGTTCGTCCCAGGCAATCCCCTGCACTTGCTCCTTTCACAGGGGCGGCTTCTGAAAGGTATGGCTCCTTCTGACGGACTCCGAAATGGAGCCCTGACATTTTTGGGTCTACATCCTAGCGTTGAAACCTTCTCGACGCAAATTTTCACAAACTTCTCAGAAACTCTTTGGAGAAGAAAAGAACATACTCTAACTGAACCAGAAAGCACAAGATCCGAGAACGTGCAATCTGATTAACGGCCAGGCCTCCACAACAGCAATGGCCACAAACAAACGAATGAGTCATGATAGCGGCCTATGGTCACGGTTCAGGCTCATGCGTTCTGCATTCATGAACGGCATCGTTTTAACACCAGCTCACAATTAGCCGCGAGTATGACAATGGGCAGGGGTGAAAGGACTAGGAGAAGAACTTTGAAATGATAGTAACGGTCATAATTCACAGTGCTGGCAGTATCCTGACGACTTTGAGGATTATTTGTGTCTGATGCAGCCGTAGTCATACTTGTAGCATTGTAGCCATCGTAGCGAGTGCTGCTGTAGTCATCGATGCAGTATCGAAGTCGTGCTCGTAGTGTTGGCGCTTGTTTTGGCGGCGATGGCAGTGGCTTTGGCGGTGGCGGTGGCGGTGGTGGCGGAGCTGGTCGTGGCGGCGGCAGCAATGCTGCTGGTAGTGGTAGTGGTAGTGGTAGTGGAAATGGTAGTGGTGGTCGTAGTAGCAGCAGCAGTGGTAGCAGCAATAGTAGTAGTAGCAGCAGTGGCAGTAGTAGCAGTAGTAGCAGGAGCAGTAGTAGCAGCAGCAGCAGCAGCAGCAGTAGTAGTAGTAGTAGCAGCAGCAGCAATAGTGATTTTCGTCGCCGTCGTCGTCGTCGACGTCCCTGGCTCACCTGCATGATTTGCAATCTTTCGGATCTCTTAGTGTTTGGGGAGCGTCGGAATAAAGTTCGGCGGAAGTTGCGCTTTAGTCATTTTAGAGCTCTTGGGATTTGAGGTTTCATTTTAAGGTTCTGTTGAAATTTTTCTACGTGGTGACTTTGGACACCTTGGGGTTTGGGAAGGCTCAAAGTAACGTTCATCAGTAGTACTAATACGAGGCGCCCCCAATCCCTACCAACTATGTTTCCCAGATTGCTCATGTTGAAACCAGGCAAAAACTGAGGAGGCACTGGCTATGTGGAATGCGAAAAGGCTTTGTGCTTTCTCAGTGCGTGGGGATGCTGAGAGGGGGGGTGGGGTGGGGTGGGGGAAGGGGGGGTGGGTGGGGGCATAGTGACGTCATATCGAAGAGCGCACATGCAAAAACTACTCGCATTTACATGATTTTTTTTGGCGTGGGTGAGGCACGTTCCACCACTGCCCTCTGCCTCATGCTCTTGACAGCCCACCCCTGACATTTAAGCGAACATAGTTGGTAAGGGGGGGAGGCTAGTACTAGTAGTAGCAGTGGTAGTGGTAGTGGTAGTAGTAGTGGTAGTGGTAGTGGTAGTGGCATTGGTAGTGGTAGTGGTGGTGGAGGTAGTAGTAGTTGTTGTTGCTGTGGCAGTAGCAGTAGTAGCAGTAATAGTGGTAGGA